TATGGTTATCAAGTTAAATGATGAAACAATTATTTGTAAATATTTTTTTTAATTGACAAGCAGTGTTATGTACATCATAATTGGTTGAAAATGTTAAGTAGTGAATTGTAACTGTTCATATGGTTTGGTGAATTAAATAATTGGGTGTTACAATTAGCAGGAAATGTACAGCATTCCTCATTTATGCATTGACATATTGACAGAGGAGTTGTGTTTTTATATTTATGATATAATTTTTGAGTAATTGAGTTTATTTTTTATGAAATAATAATTACTAAAAAAATTTATAACAATATATTATGCAATTTTTATTAAAAATATGTGCGTTATCAATTATCCTCAAATGTACAGTYAGTGAACTTCAATGTTTGTCTTCGAATAGAAATGTAGATAAATGTCAAGATTGGAAGAAAATGTCTGTACTTGTGGCCGACCTAGTGGGTCGGTCAATYGTCAAGGATAAAGTCGAAACAAAATCTAACATGTTAACGCTGTTGATTCGTGCCGCATCGGGTGTTATCGGACACGGCACCAATGCTCTAAAAGCTCTTATAGTAAACGGATTGGTACTTTTGACGAAAACTGTAAGTTATCTTCATGCTTTATGGAATGACAATTTTTTGTACAAATGTAAATGTTCAAATATTATGTATATTCCATAATTCTTATTTAGATYTTGAATGTCTCTGATTACGGAACAACCTGCAATTACAGAGCTACTGGCCAAAAAACTAAGATCGTCCCCGATGGTCGTCCAATCGACTGGATTATGAATAATCCATATGTAATGAACATTGCAGTCTATGTCTATACCATATCTAATTATGTTACACATAATATGACATTACCTATATACAATAAAACTTACTGTACTCGCTTGTGCTGTGGTAGGACTGAATGGCGCAACTAGGGACAGATATGGCACCTCTTAAGTCACCTAAATRGTTTCAMATTTTTAGTCGATCCGGTAATAATTAATTATATATATAAATACTTCGAAGTTTGGGGATTTGTCTCATAGCTGATCAGCCATTAGAAAATTTCATAATTTTAACACATTCGACAGTTTCCAGTTGCGCCTTTATGTGTTATATGTGGGTTTACCTAGTACCTATTATATTTTTTCTCGATTTCAGATAAAGTCGATGATGAAAGATGCGACGGACGAAACGTTACCAGATCTATTAATCGGACATTTGACGTCGCAAATGCCATGTGTTCAGTTGCTGCTTTGTCGCTTGTCACCAATCATACACTACATGCAGCGTCAGGTAAAGAGGAGTAGGCGAAGTCCTTCCCACGAATGGTTGACGTGGAATGTTTCCGACTGGCAACAAGTCAAAGGAAACGCAATGCATTGTGCGGAAAAACATTACGAATGCGGGGAAATGATAAAACGGAATTCGTCCCGGTGATGCAAATCGCGAGTAGTATGATATCGGCAAACGTGATCCTGATGCTTACGTGGTGATATTTCTGTTCGAAATTCTATTTTTATTTAACAAAAATATTATTTATTTTATTACATTATGTCATTATGAGATAATTATCCTATGAGCTGTAGGTATTTATTATTATATTTATAATAATAATGTTATAAATAAACACATTTTGAGGGATTTAAGCCTTTGTAGACTCTTATTATGGCAGTGATTAAATGTGTACACTGTACAAAATCCTTATTGTGACATTGTGTAAGTATTGCTTTGTGTGTATTCTATGTTTAACTGTTTAAGTATACTTTAAGTACCTACACATAAGAATACCTATTATAATTAACAACTAACAAGTGTGTCAAAAGGACGTGCAAACGTTGTTGCTATATATCTAAGCTATCAGTTAGGTTACGGGMTTTATGTACGCATACAGTTTTTGAATTAAGTATAAATCATAATTGTTATTATRCTATAATATTAAGCGAGTGCCTACGTGCAATTATCAAAACTATCATTTATGTGTTTGTGTGAAGACTACGTGTATATACTATATAATTATAATTTATTACGAAGGTAATTCAATAAATGAAGAAAAATAATGTTATGAACCTATATATTAACACACTAGCTATATTAATAGTTTAATGGAGTTTATTTTTGAATCATTTCTGTGGCGATTTATGTTTTGTGATCTATGGGGATTCAGCTCAAGTTTAAGAATTAAGATAGTAATTTTCTCCTGTCTAGTCTTTTACAATAAACAGCCAAATAAAACCCACTTCTTGAGCCCGCTACACTCAGCCACTCCCCCTCTCCTCTTTCCACAAGAAACGTCATTATCCGAATAACTAGAATACTTTGCATATTATTTGTTTTAAGAATATGCAAATCAATTAATTTTGTTTTGTTTTGACAAATTATATGAGTTTTTAGCAGCACCCTCGAAATGGTTATTACTCATTAGGTACCTTATAATATTTTAATGGCTTATTTGGAAATCCTGAAAACCAATAATTTTAAATTATTAGTTATTAATCAATTATATTATAGAATATRGATGTTTCGTGTGTAGTATAATATATTTACACTGTAACTGGATTTGCTGCAGCGATATTTTATTGTAGCCGATAATACTATAACGGTATTTTTGGGTAGGTATGACTAACATATGAAAATTAAGTTGGCAAAAAAAAAAATAAGCTTCTACGCGATTGACAGTTGACACCAAGATAACATAATACCTATTGGCTATTTTATATAATATTCCGACTATTACGGAGGTGTGAGTACATATTATACGTACCTAATACGTCGGATGGTCGTCCGTATCCATTTTTCTCCATCATAAAAACAAGATATTGTCATTTGTCATCATATTATATTAATTTGAATACCTGGTTTATAATTTTCTGGCTAAGAACATTAAATTTTATATTATTTTTTATACGTATTATTTTATTCGTATGCATATACAATTAAAAATTACTTTAATAAAATATAGTACATTGCTTACTTTAATTCAGAATTAAATATCAATGCAATACCTTGCAAATAAGAAAATAAAATATAATAACTACATAAATTGTTGTAAATGTTGTTGTTGCCTATATATTAGCCATATAGGTAATATACTTATAATATTATATAAAAATAAAAATAAAGCAATTTGTGTCAAAATTCATAATTATTAACTTCAAACAAAATAAATAAAATCAATAATTTTAAAATAAGTAGATATTTTAATTGTAAAATAGATACTAATTTATTGTTTTATTATACAAAATGTAACTATTTTTGTAATTTTTCTGACACTTATTAAATTTGTAGTTATTGGTATAATATAAGTTTTAATTGTAGTAAACCTTAAAATATCGAAAATCCACAATCAAGAACATAAATAGGGTGGGTGTTGGATTGTGTCCTTAGCCCAATTTAAAATTGATATTGATAATGATAGGATATTTTGACTGTTCAAATTTTTACCTAATATACATAGATGGAGGGGAGTGGGGTCGCGAAGTGATTGACCATATTTTATACTTATTTTGGGGGTCACGACACTAAAAATGTTGAAAAACGATGTGTTATACCATTTTAATATTCAGCTATTAAAGATATTATGTAGGTAATCTTTATTATGATAAATTRTACAATTTATAAGCTAAAAATACGTTATGATTATAAACATACTTCTAAAGCTCAAGAAACCTATTAGTAGGTATCTATAACTTTTASCTCAATATTGTTCAAGTTCAAAATTTACAAGATAAATAATACAGAATGCATTTAAGAATTATATTACTCACATATAGAAATTCAGAAGTAGATAAATTGTGTATTTTATAACTGTTTAAAWTTTTTTTTTTTAATTTTAAATTAATTTTAAGCGTACAATTTGCAATAAATATCAGATGATTCCTCGTACTCGATCAAACTCCAGCCGTCTTCTATTGTACTTCGGGTTTAGATCAAACTGTGAAGGTATCAAATCGATAGCGTGTTCTATACGATTTGTAATTGTTTTATAAAATTGAAATTTGCATAACTGCCCAGTGATTCCACGTAATCTGTGAAACACCACCCGTCCGCTCGGGGACACAGAGTCTTTGATCCTTATACGTTATACATGAAACTACCATAATAGCTTTTACTGCTAGTAAAGCTTATAGATCTCAACATTTGCAATCAACATTGACAATTTCAAGTCGATATAGCKTGTTTGTACGATTTTTAAYGAATTTTCAAATAAACAGCAGTAAACCGTAAAAACTAGTAATACCGAGGTAATGTACACACCGTAGACCGATAGTACCTACCTAATGTAGAGTATAGTTTCGTTTAGCCGTTGTCAAAAATATTATGATGGCGCTTTAAATGTTGAAACATGATATTGCCTACATTTGAACATTAGAACATAATTAAATACCAATAATCATTCTACCCCCTTTTCCTCTCAAAAACCTACCTTTAATAACATTAACTGAATATTTTATAGTCAATTACACTAATGTTTAATACTAGGTAGGTACTTACTAAGTAGGTACCTATATGTTTTAATTTTAAGAATAGCTATAATTCATAATTCAATTGACAACCAAATCATTCTAATTTAGTGTGTAAGTTTAATTACAGTATACACAGTACTGATAACCTAACAAATGAATGTTTGATATCTAAATCTATTTAAAACGTTTTAGGTTTCTAGTTATAATATAGTAATTATAGTAATGTTCAAGCTATTGGTAGATACTAGATAGCCAGGTAAGTATAGACACCACAGATGGAAAATCTTTGGCACGCGAAAAGATTTTGAGGGCACGCAAAAAATTTAAATATTTTTATTAATCATATTTATATATATATTTATTGGCTATAATGTATAGTATTTTTCATGGTACGTAGGTACGTAAAAAAAAGGTAATTTGGCACTCCAGGTATTGYCAAATGGTTCATATCCACTTTGCCGAATCCCAATTCGCCGACAACTCGGTTTGCCGATAAATATACCCGACAGTCTAGTTGTTAATGATGAATTTATGAAGTGAAGTTTTCGCCGACAGTCTAGTTATTGTTAATGATGAATTGATGAAGTGAAAAAAACTGTTTGAAGAATATGTGCCTTAGCTCTGGTGCCTATCGATGGTATAGATGAGTGTTGGTCAATTATTCATGTTGAAGCACCAGTTAATGAAAGTAACTGAAAACGGTTTAATTATAATTTGAATAGTAAATATAATATTTACCTTTTTTTATGCGTTATAAAACTTATGTATTATTTTGTGGATACATATTTGAATAGTGATGCATGTATGTTTGACCGGAAAATTTGGTATCACAATCATTTCAACACCGATAGGGCAAGGACAACTAACCATCTAGAAGCTTAGCATGCAGCTTTAAACCGAAGTATAAGTCGAACATATTTGTGTTGATAACTGAAATAAAAAATCAACAACAAAGTTTTGAACTTGATCTACAAGCCCAGRAAAACGGTAATCSAAAACCACTAACTAAATTGAAATTTCGAAAGCTTGAAGAAAGATAAAAAAATTCAAAGGATAGGTAAATATTATAAAATAATTAATTTTTACATGTATATTGTATAATGGTTATTATATATTATGTAATTAGTTTTTATTTTTTTCAGATTAAAATCAGAATAAATCTCTTTAATAGAGTACCTAT